CTCTATCCATTTTCCTTTGCCTGGTGGAGATGGGCAGGGATTCATAGAATCATAGAATCATAGAATGGTTTGGATTGGAAGGGACCTTAAAGATCATCCAGTTCCAACCCCCCTGCCAGAAGCAGGGACACCTTCCACTAGACCAAGTTGCTCAAAGCCTCATCCAGCCTGGCCTTCAACACTTCAGTTGTTACTTCAGGAGTTACTCCCTTCAGAGTGAAGTAGCCCAAATATTGGGTGAGTTGCCCCTGATCTTCCTGAACCCTGTAAACTCTAGTTGACTATTGTCTCAAGCATGTCTTGTGCTTTGTTCCTCAGAAGAGACCCACCAGTCCCCTACAGCTGTGGGCAGAGCGGCTTGAAGTCTCCCATTTGCTCGGTGAGCCCAGTATGCCCAGAGGGAACAGGAACAGCCTTGGCTCAAGCCATGATGTGGGGCTTGGGAAGGTGGTTTCTGGTTTGGATGAGAGCTTGCTGATCCCAGTAGATATGGTATAATGGGCTTATTGGCTTGCCTGGCCTCTAACCTTTGTCATATTTCTGGATGGGTCTGGCAGATGGCTGCAAGGTCTTCTGTGCACAACCATTTCTCCGTTGAGCAGAGGAGGACTTCAGCCACAGTAGCCCTCATCCTCTAGTCAGCTCATGTTGGAGAGGAAGAGGAGATGCTGGTAAAGAATGGGAGAGAGTGATGGGTACTTCTTATAAGCAACTCCAAAGAATCATTTTCCTGGGCACAGAAATGATGAACAAATGCCTAAACTTAAGCCTCATAAGTTCCATTTCCCAAGGTTTGGCCAGGGTTGGGTGCCATCATGTCCTGAGGACTTTATTTCCCCTTTCGACACAGAGGGCTCTGAGGTTTGAGCCCGTGATGGATACTTAGCCCTGGACTGACATCCCAAAGAATCAGAAAGGGTTTGCACCATGTTCATAGTGATTTCCTTCTGCTGTTTGTGCTGTTCCTGCTGTACGTTCAGACACTGCATTGCATCAAAACTGCTCCTGTACCCCAACTGTACCTTCTTTTCTGGAGCCCCCAACACAAGAGAGACCTGGAGCAGCTAGAACAAGTCCAGAGGAGGCCACCAGGATGATCCAAGGGCTGGAGCAGCTCTGCTGTGAGGACAGGCTGAGAGACTTGGGGCTGTTCAGCCTGGAGAAGAGAAGGCTCCAGGGAGATCTTATAGCAGCCTCCCAGTACCTGAAGGGGCTACAAGAAAGCTGGGGAAGGACTTTTCATAAGGGCAGTTAATGACAAAACAAGGGGAAATGGGTTTAAGCTGAAAGAGGGGAGGTTTAGATTAGATATTAGGAAGAAGTTTTTCACTGTGAGGGTGGTCAGACACTGGAACAGGTTGCCCAAGGAAGTTGTGGATGCCCCCTCCCTGGAAGTGTTTGTGGCCAGGCTGGATGAGGCTTTGAGCAACCTGGTCTAGTGGAAGGTGTCCCTGCTGCTGGCAGGGGGGTTGGAACTGGATGATCTTTAAGGTCCCTTCCAACCCAAACCATTCTATGATTCTATGATTCTATGATTCTCCTCCTGGGTGGAAACATCCTTCAAAACCCCAAGCACCTGAAATGCTCCTGAAGTAACAACACTTTGTAACTTCAGCCTAGCATCACTGAGCTAGCTAAGAGTAATTTGCCTGTGGGGACCACATATCTCCTTAGCAGGCCAGTTTGTCTTATGTGAGACAATAGATCTCCATTTAATTGAGTGTGGATATGTCAGAAAGCATCTGTGTTCAACAAGATGAAAGTTCAGTCTAGATTTATTGCCTTCGTGAGATGCTTTAGCCCTTTGCAGGCTGCAGAGGAGCAGCTGGGCAAGGTAGCTCTGTCTTTTGGGGCCTGGGAGAGGAGGGACAAGGTCTCTGGGCAGAGAAAGAGAAAAGGCAGGGCAAGGAAGAGGGGTGAATGGATTCTCTGCCAGCAGAAGCCAGAGCCCAAAAAGCAGGGGACAGGTTTTGCTCTTTTTCTTGATATGAAAGGTTTTACAAAGCTGCTTGTTGCTGTGGTACCCTAAACATCTTGGGCAACATGGTCAATGAGGATTCAGGGGATGTGAGACATGAAGGTTTTTGCTCATCTTTGGCCAGCTTAATGTTTATGGAAGGGCCAGATGTTGGCAGAGTTGGTTGTAGAAAGGAGGTTGTGTTCCTCTCTTCCTCCCTCCCCAGCCTCCCCTGCAATGAAGGGTCCCTTCCCCGATGACCCCTGGGCTTGGAGAGAGGACTTGCATGGGAAGACTAAGGCAGGAGTTCATTAAATTCTTAATTATAGAGGTGTTCTTAAGTGCTGTGGTGCATAAAGCTGAAAGCATCATTTCCTTGCCACTGGAGGTGAATCCAGTCTGAATTATTTAAGCATTCAGATGACCGAGGCCAGACGATGTGTTTGATACATGAGAGAAACTGGATGCTTCAAGTGTCAGGTAGCATGTGCTTTGGGTGACCAGGTCTGCCCTGGAGGGGCTGTGTGTTGTTCACCACATCCTGTTATGACTACCATGTGCTGAAAAACATGGGAAATGCAAGGAAAATCCCAAATTACAGGTGATTGTGAACTCCATACCAGGTTGCTCTGAGGAGGAGAAAACATGAACTACAAGCAAAGACTATAAAACTTGGTTGTTCAGGACAACATCCAAACTATTGTGAAGTATGTAACAGAGGAAAGGCTTAAGCTGTTCTTTATATCTACCAAGAAGAGGACATGAAGTGATGGTCTTAAACTGGAGTCTAGACATCAGGGAAAAAAAATTTAATATTAAAACTAGTTTGGACTGGATTAGCCTGTGTTGGGAGCTGGTGGGATCTTCATCACTGGCAATTTTTATGAGGGGCAATTTTTATGATCTTTATTTTAGACTAAGACATAGATTTAACACCTGATGTGCTGCTGTAAGCAGCCAGATGGAGCAAACAGTGTTTTGAGGTCTCTGTTATCTCTGTTTTCCTGTTATCCTATGTGCTCACAGGTAAATATTGACGTGTGAGCCTCATGCCCACACCACGAATGTGACTAACAAACCTTGTGGCCCTTTGCCAGCAAAACTGATGTTTTTGGTCAAGTGTCCTGAATTCCTATTGCTGAAGAAGAATAACTGGACAAAAATGGGTGCTGCGGTTCAGTGATAGGGAAACTCAAGGATCCTTGCAGGAAGTAACAAATACTGCAACCTCATGGCACATGGCACCCTTCTGGTAAGAGCTCTGAAGGTTCAGATATATTCAAAAGATGTGGCTGATGTACTTGAGGATGGCTGATGAAGGCAGCAGGATCAGCTGTTGTCTGCACCACTCACCAGTGGCATAACTCCAGCATCTAGGTAATTCATGAGTAGGATCACCATCTTGCCACATGAGATTGACATCAATTTTTTACTATGGGTTGACCTACTGGTGCTTAGATCCAATACTACTCAGCTTCTAGGGATGGCTTGACCCCACCATATCCAAGAGTATGTGATTCAGGCACTGGAATGGGCTGCCTAGGGAAGTGGTTGAGTCCCCATCCATGGAGGTGTTTAAAAGACGGGTAGATGAGGTGCTCAGAGATCTGGTTTAGTAGTGGACAGGTACAGTTGGACTTGATCTCAAAGGTCTTTTCCAACCAAACCATTCTATGATTCTATGATTCCCAGGGGCTGTCCTGGATGGGCAGGCATAGAATCATAGAATCATAGAATCATAGAATCATAGAATGGTTTGGGTTGGAAGTGACATATCTGTCCCAGGAAAACTTTCAGGACATGGCATGCTTGGGCACTGCTCAATAAGTAGTGTTCCAAACTGAAACCCCTTTTGTTTCATTTCCATCCACTCTCCTTTGCTCTCCAGCTGCCAATAGGCTGGGACATTTGGAAAGGGTACCAGGAATGCGTCATTTCAGTTTTAACTTGCGTCTTATGTCTCTGTTTCATTTGTGCTTTCTGCAAACTAATCAGGTTTTTGGCAGTGTCAGTTTGCAAGGATTTATCCACTGATTTCTGCAAAGACACACTGGGCTCAGAGTTATTTGCAAACAATTTATGTGTGTGTTTCATCCATGTGTATAGCGCAGCAAATTGTTCGTTCTTGTTCTTAAATGACTGTTATTACATCAGATAAATCAAGGAAATTGGAGTTTTCTAGGCTTGGAATCTGCAGCAGACATGCCTGGATTTGGACATGGCACTTTTTTAATGGAACAGCAAAGCAGCTCTGGCTATTTCTGTACTCTAAAGAAGTGGTGGATTATGGTGCTTCTTTGTATGCCAACTTTTTTTTTTCTAAATCTTTCCTTGTGGTCTTTATAGTGCTCTGCTGAGTAAACCACTCTTTGCTGCCACAAACCCCTGTGTTCTTTGCTTCGCTGTTAACTACTCTGGTTGCAATATACCTGCAAGTTCTTTGTTTAAAATTTGGATTATAAACAGATCCTCCATATGTGCATCTTTCCAGCTACTCTTTCCACCCTCAAAAAAACTGTGCCAAGTAAAGCTATTTCAGTCAGGAAATACCTTTATTATTAAAGGATCAGTCTCTGCAGTGCTGCAGTTTTACCAGGATAAGAGAGTTGTGGACCTGAAGAGTATCAGTCCCTTTCATGCATGAGCTAGTTAATCTGGTAGCAGGTTGCAGTCAGGTCACAGAGATGCTGAATTAATTCCCATGGTTCAGGTTCAACTGACATCATTCAAGAACCTGCATGGAGTGCTTAAGTTAGTGGTTTCATTTCCCAGAGCTCCCTGTATAGTCACAAGGAGGCAGAGGTTCCCTCAGAGATGATTCAGATTACAACCAGGAGCACCACTGACTGCTGAGGGGACTTGCAATGACCATGCTTTTCTGTTAAGACATCTCACTTAGGTATGTAAAATTAGATGAAGTGTCCTCAGCACCCTTTCCTGCTGGTCACAACATCCTCTTGAGAAAACTTCCCTTCTTTTTTTCTGATATGGAAAAGGAAAAGAGAGTTACAGTCTCCACATAAAAGTTGTGGCCTTATTTCAGGAGGAAAATGAGATAAAACCCCCTCAGATGGAGGCCAGTTCCACCAGCTTCAAGACACTCAAGTTTGGGAAGCTGAAGGTGGTACGTCGGCGCTTGCTACAGAGGTATGAGCATCAGCCCTTCATCTCCTGCCTGGCTGGGTTCTACAGCTGCCGGTGGAAGCGATATCAGCGTAGAAGGACCGAGCCTGGGAAATGCTGCTGCAAGACGGTAAATTAACTCAAAATCACCACAAACATTGATTACTGTGTAGGGACAGTCCAAACTGATGAGTGGTTGATGTTGTGGGACAAAGGCATCCCCACCCAACATCATTTGAAGCCCACTGAGATCTGTTGGGTTGTTAGATTTTTGTCTCTAAGCGATTGATGTATTGCTGTGTTCTTGTGGCACTTTGTCTGTGCCACCATGCAGCTAATAAATATATGGCAGGAGAGGACTTTGCACCAAACCCTCCAGGCCAATGAAACATCTCAAAGCCATAGGATCAACTTAAAGAAGGAAAATTTGGGCTAAGCGTGCAGTAAAAATTGTAAAGAGGGCTGCTGCCTAAGTGCAGTTCCCTCCCATGTGAGGTGGTTAAAATCCTGTTCATTTGCCAAGTCATCAGATCTGTTTTCCCTAAAAATAAATACTTCAGAGTATGTTTCTGAGGATATCCCCCTACTCACAGCAGGAAGGCAGGGAAGTCTTCTCCATATCTACTTCAGGAGGTCCAGCACCAAGCCAAGTGTTTTATGGACAAACTAAAAGTGCCATTTGCTCTGATTGCTTCAGGGTAGACAAAGTTCTGACCACTTGTCCTTCCTCTCCCTCTCCAGCGGGAATGTGTGTTTTTCCCATTGCTTGTTGGAGCTTTCTGTTTTTCTCTGGTCTTTCTGTACATGTGGAGTGAAGCAAAAAATGACTACAATAACTTTGACTGGTAAGTACCATCTTTTCCTCCTCTCCTGCTCCTTGGGCAGGTCCTCAGGGTGTCTGGGAAGAGCAGTAGGGCACTTTAGCCATGATCCAAAGATTTATCTCCTTAAACTCTTGGTTATGGCATCCAAATTAAATTTCCAGTGACTTCAGAGGTGCTGAGGCTCTGCCCTTTGCTTGGCGACAGTTTTTAAATGTAAGTGCGAATTTGGGAGAAAGGGGAGAATCATCATCACAAAAATTGTGAATGAAGTCGACTAAATAGCTCTTTTCTTTCCTTCTCTGAGTCTTTTTTCCCCCTTCTGAAGAAATGTAGTGGTTGGCATCAGAGGTATTGCACCAGCTGTCTCACTGCAAAGAGAATCGCATGTTCCCAGGCTTGAAAGTAAGAAATAACTGACAGGGATTTATGCAAATCCTTTCCTTCTGCAGTATGTAGGCAACAGTTATGCAAATCTGGCCCTGAAAATTAAATTAAAGCATCTTAAATATTATGGGGAGGAAAGGTGAGATAATGTTCTTCATCCTTATTGAGCCTTTGGGTAAAAAGTAGAGTTTTCCTCTCCTTCTCCTTGGGCAATCCCTCTGCAGCTCCTCCAGCTTTCTGGTGTTTTCTCCTTCAAAGCCTGACTCAGATCTCTTTTTTTTGCTGCAGTGTCCTACACAACACCAAGCAAAAAAGGTGGGATGTTGGTCTGAGTCCTGTCATTTTACCATTTCCCCAGGCTGCCTTGTCTGCAGCAAGGTGCAGCTGTGTCTTACATTCAGACTAGGAGCTCTTTGGAGCAAGGCCATCAATTTGGTCCTGTATTTTACCACCCCAGCACACTGGGGTGTTAGTCTGGTGGTTAATGCAATCATGGATCTGAGGAAGAAGGTTCATAACCACTTCTGCATGTTACAGTGTAGGTTATTCCTTCCTCCCTCTTTGTTTATTGCTTTGATAATTTAATATTTCAAGGAACGGGGCTGTCGTTCCACCCCCCAGTCCATGTGCTAAACACAAACACTATTATAATATTTAATCACTTTGTAGGTATAACTATGGGAACCTGGGCTTCTGGTTTCTCTGGTCTCTCGTTCTCCTGATCGTGGCTGCAATCTTGTTCGTGTACATCACGCTGTTATTGGTAAGTAATGCACCTTGAGAGCTGACCATGATTTATAGTCCTAAAAAGGAAACATAGGGATGACTTTAATGGGTCAAACCAAAGCTCAGCCTAGCCTCACACTGAGGCTTTGAGCAACCTGGTCTAGTGGAAGGTGTCCCTGCTGATGGCAGGAGGGCTGGAACTAGATGATCTTTAAGGTCGCTTCCAGCCCAAACCATTCTATGATCTGATCCTTAGACAATGGATACCTGGGAAAAACTGGGAAGAAAACAAATGTTTACAGTACTTTTTTCCCATGTCCACCTGCAGATGACCAATTTCATCTTGGGGGTCTCTGAGCCAGATGTAGTTTCTCTAATTTCACTCAATGATTCCCTTCAATGAATGTGTCCAGTCTCTCCTTGAATGCTAGAAAATCTGAGCCAGCAGTGACTGGATTTAGATTTAGGGGAAGCTAAAGATTGTTGCTTTGATAGCAGATACAGACGTATGGGACTCTGAGTCATCTAGCAGTAGTGATACGTCATCAACGCTGTTATTCCTCTAATCCTGAATAAAAAGGCTCATTAGAAGAAGGGGAACATTATCACTGAAGCTGCCTTGACTCATTCTGCACTCATTTGCTGGACGGTTTCTCTCCAGGTAGAGAATATGGAAGTGGTCACAAAATGTTGCTGAAGTTTATGGCCAAAGAGGCAATGTTCCTGAAATCCTCAATTTTCCAAATCCTGTGAAATTTTCTCTAGGCTTCTGATCTGCTGTCTGCCTTGGTTACTGGAAACATAATCAAAAGCAAGCATTTCCTAAAATTTCTACCAACTCATCCCTCTTCTCTGTCCTTTCTCTCCTAGATACCCCCCCAAATAAAGACAGATTTGCATCTGTGTTTACACCTTCTGCATCCAGAGCTATAGGCTAAGAAATTTAGGAAGAAATTCTTTGCTGTGAGGGTGGTTAGATACTGGAACAGGTTGCCCAAGGAAGTCGTAGATGCCCCCTCCCTGGAAGTGTTGAAGGCCAGGCTGGATGAGGCTTTGAGCAACCTGGTCTAGTGGAAGGTGTCCCTGCTGCTGGCAGGGGGGTTGGAACTGGATAATCTTTAAGGTCCCTTCCAACCCAACCCAAGCCATTCTGTGATTCTGTGATTTTATGATTCTAAATCACTTTAACTCCAGGGTCTGGAGTTCACGTTCAGTCTCACGCCTGCTCCAACATTAATTTTGAAATGCCAGGTGCTGAGAATGAGGTTATGGCTTTGACTCACCTCACTGGCAGAGACAACCAGCTTTTATCACCAGTTCCTGCTGTTCTTACCCATTCCCTGATGTATCATTGTATAGTCAGTCTGTAAATTGCTCATGGCAGGGAATCTCTTTTTGCTTTGTTCATGCAGTGCCCAGCACAATATGTTTCTGAGGTCCTTTGTCTCTGCTGAAGTACAAATAAATAGTGATTTTATTCTGGTGCTAGCAATAAAAACCCAAAGTGATAAATAGGACAGCTGCTTGGCCGTGCCCATAGCGATCAATAACATCATAAAAGCTGTGGACTAACTGAGTAGGACAAATAACAATACTTAATTACAAGGATTTTGTGACCCCCTGGTGACTCTAGGGCTCAATGTCTATTATTCAGCAAAGCCTACCTGGCTTTCCCAGTGGCCATGGAGTAGTGTGGGTGGTTTGGCGGTTGGACTAACCCATCGTAGCACAGGCTAGAAATGAGCTTTACAGGATTTCCTGGCCTTGAGGACTCTGAAGACCCCTGAGGGTGGTATGTCAGCTCAGTCATGCTCTTTCTGGATCCAAACATCAGCCAGCATCCAAACAGTGGACTTCCTTAGAGGAGTTTCATGTCTTTGGCAGCATGAATGTGATGTCCACAAACTATCAGGACAGGTGATGGGCAAAGTAAAGCCAGAAAGGAAGATGGAAAATATCATAGAATCATAGAATACCAGGTTGGAAAGGACCTCAAGGATCATCTGGTCCAACTTTTCTTGGCAAAAGCACCACAAAAGCATGGTCTAGACAAGGTGGCCCAGCACCCTGTCTAGCTGAATCTTAAAAGTGTTCAATGTTAAGGAATCCATCACTTTCCTGGGGATATTATTCCAATATCTGGTTGTTCTCATTGTGAAAAAATTTTCCTCTTGTGTCCAATCAGATTCTCCCCAGGAGTAACTTGTACCCATTACTCCTCATCTTTTCCATGTGATTCCTTGTAAAAAGGGAGTCTCCATCTTCTTTGTAGCTACCCTTTAAGTACTGGAACTTGGTGATGAGGTCTCTCCTAAGCCGCCTTTTCTCCAGGCTGAACAAACCCAGTTCTCTCAGCCTTTCCTCATATGGCAGGTTTCCCAGTCCTTTGATCATCTTCATGGCCCTTCTTTGGGCTTTTCCAGCCTGCCCACATCTTTTTTGTATAGTGGGGACCAAAACTGAACACAGTATTCCAGGTATGGCCTAACAAGTGCTGAGTAGAGTGGGCTAATGCCTTCTTTGTCTCTGCTGGTGATGCCCTTGTTGATGCAACCCAGCATGCTGTTGGCTTTCTTTGCCACAGCAGCAGGCTGTTCAGTCCTATTGAGCTTGTTGTCCACCACCCACAGGTCCCTTTCCACAGAGCTGCTCTCCAGCCAGGAAGATCCCAGCCTGTGCTGCAATCCTGGATTATGTTTTCCCATGTGCAAGACCTTGCACTTGTCCTTGTTGAACTTCATAAAGTTCTTGTTAGCCCACTCTTCCAGCCTACCACTTCCCTTCCAAAGTGTCCACTTCCCCACTCAATTGGGTATCATCAGCAAACTTCATCAGGGTACACTTGATGCCATCATCCAGATCATTTGTGAAGATATTAAACAGTGTTGGACCCAGTGTTGATCCTTGGAAGATCCCACTTGTGACAGGTTGCCAGTTTGAAAAGGAGATATTTACCACCATACTCAGGGTGTGTCCAGTCAGACATTTCCTCACTGACCACACAGACCACTTGTTGGGTCGTAACACATCAGTTACTCTACGAGAAGGCTGTGGGGGACTGTACTGAAAGCCTTGGAGGAATCCAGGTAGACAGTGTCCACTGCTCACCCCACATCAACCGAGCAAGTTACTTTGTCATAGAAGGTGATCAGGTTTGTCAAGCACAGTTTGCCCTTGGTGAACCTGTGCTGGCTTTTCCCAGTCACATGCTTCATTTGACTAGTGATAGCCCCCAGGGTGATTCGTTCCATAACTTTCCCAGGGATTGAAGTAAGACTGATAGGCCTATAATTTCCTGGATCTTCCTTTAAGGCATTCTTGCAGATGGGGGTGAAATTAGCCTTCTTCCAGTCTTCTGGGTTGTCCCCCAGTCTCCACAATTTCTCAAAGATTATGGGAAGTGGCTTCACAATGCTGTCAGCCAGCTCTCTTAACACCCTTGGGTGGATAATGTCTGGGCCCATCAATGTGTAGGGGTCAAGCTTCTGTAATAGTTTGCATACCAACTCTTCCTTCACTGACTGCAGGTCTGTGTTTGCATCAACCTGGATAGGAGGTGAAATTGGTGTCCTACATGGTTCAGTTCAGTCTTGGTCCCACTCATTGTATAGACACATCGTCCTCCTCCTCTCAGCACCTCTGTTGTGTCTAATGAAGCTAACAGCATTTGCCTTGAGGGTGAGGACAGATAAACCTGAAAGAATGCAAGTAGTCTGGGTAGTATCAGACAAGCTCTACATGCAAAACACTTCAGAGGTGCCTCTGCTCTGGGGACAGCCCCTGCAGCAAGGGTCTATTTGCTTCTTGCTTTCATGAAGCTGTGAAGTGACCCACACAAAGCTATTGGGTATTTCTGCTAACACTTACCCTGCTTGATTGCAGCAGCATGTCATCATGTCTCATTTGGAAAGATTTCTGTATGCATCTATGTTGTGCAGTGGATGCTGGGAAGTACAAGGTCCCACACCAGCAGAAATGATACCTAAATGGGATTAGGTCTTGAAGGAAAGAGGAGTGAGGAAAGTAATCACCACCACCATTCATATTCCCACTTCTCAAAGCATGCAGGCTCACATGAAGGTCACATGCTTGCATGCAGGGTCTTGTGATGGTAACTGGCCATGGTCATCCCAGCAGGGCTCCTTTCAGAGAAGGACTCTGCCAGGAATCACCCTTCCATTACTGTATGCAGAGCTTCCCCATCACAGTGTCTGGCCTTTCACTGTAGCCTTTGATGAACCACTCAGCAAAACACTAGCAGCCTCACAGGCCAATAAGCACAAATCAGCCCTTCCATAACTAAATAAATTTATCAGTGTGGCTACTATACAATAGCTGGGTCGTCTAATAACATTTCAGACAACTGATGGCCAAATAGGTTGCCCCTGTGATGAATTGTTCCCATGTTCTGGTTGAACAGTGTTGGATGGAGCCTATCCCCACATGTGTTGGACTGGAAGGACTGGAGACCTTCACCCAGTTTTCTTGTGATGTTTTGCATCAGTAGCTCATCACATTGGAAAACTGAACACACTGATGTCCTTGTTGGAGCAGAGAGATTTTATAGCAACAAGTGGCAGGTCTGGTGTGATTTGTGAGCATCATACCCTCTTCCTTAATGACAGCACCCAACTGGAGCCTCCAAGCCTGCTTCCATGACCTTATTGTGAATCACTGAAGCAAACACTCTTCTGCCCAGCGGCCACCAGCAGCTGAACAAAATGCTGCACAACAAAGCACTTGCTGTCTGTGCAGAGGCACTCTCTGTCCACATGCATCATTGTAATTTTTTTCAGACAATCAGTTTCAATTAATTCAATTGTTATCACTCCACAAGACAATTTTCTCATTGGCATTAGAGCTGAAAGGTTAAGCTGAGGGGTCTAATTGCAGAGCAGTTCATGCTCAGTGGAGAAGAAAAACCTTTTCTTGCTCAGTCTTTCAAACACCAACAGAATTTTTTTCTTCTCTGCAGTTCAACCGTGTTTGTTCCAACGGTTTTGGGGAGGTGACTTGTGACTGTACAATATAATGAGGTTCA